CCTGGGCAAGTCACTTAATCCCATTGCCTAATCAAAAAAACAACAACAGCAACAACAACAACAGAATTAGTCCAAATTGTCAGATCTAAGGAGCAGTGATTAATAGTTTCTTGTTAGAAGGTATTTTCTGGTTGTTGTGTTCTGTAGATCTGTGCCTAACTGTATGCTGCTCAACATTTAATCAGGGGCTTGAATAAAAGAGTAGATGGCATGCATGTCAAAATCAGGATCCAAAAAGTTATCAACAGGCATTTAGCTGAATCCAAGAAGATGGAAATTATTCTGGATAAATGTAAAATCTTTTACCTGTGATCAAAAAATCAACTTCAGAACTGCAGACTGAGACAGGTTTGTCTAGATAGCTCTTCTGCAAAAGATCTTTTGGGTTCTTCGTGTGGTGCTAGCTCAATATGAGTCAATAGTGCTATGGCAACCAAAAAAAAAAAAAAGCTAAATCTGTCTTAGGCTTTATTCAGAGATGTTTAGGCTCCATGGCGATGAAGTGTTACAGTGTTATGCTCCTTCTCTAATCTGACATGGTCAGACTATATGTGGGTATTATGTGATTCTGCAAATTGTTCTGTGGAGGTCAAGGCAGACGTTTGGCCTGTTAGCCTGACCCTGACAAGGTGCTGTCTAACTTGCTGGGAATGGATGTGGCTGGAATCTACTTCACGAATGCTAACAGGTTTACAGGCCTCCTCGAAGTCACTGGGAAGAGCCCACAGAACAAGTATCGTAGTGACAGACATTGGAAATGATGTTCCCTACCACAAAGAGCCAGTTGGAGCTGAGATGTTGGAAACTAAGCCAGAAGGGTGGTGAGGGAAGTATCAAAACAATAATTATTCCCAGACTTGGATGCTAGATTTGTTTATCAGGCAGCTAAGTGGTATAGTTGATAGGATGCCGGACTTAGAGTCAGAAAGGCCTGAGTTCAAATTGAGGAAAATAATATTAATGCTGTGTGTCATTTGAATTTTAAAATGAATCTGTAATACACCTTTTTCTGGCAAAAGCTCCATCTTTTAGCCTACCTTTTAGTCAGGGGTCAGGAGCCTGTGCCCTCGAGGCCACATGTGGCCCTGTAGGTCCTCAAGTGCTATCCTTTGACTGAATCAAAACTTCAGAGAATAAATCCCCTTCATAAAATGATTTGTTCTGTAAAACTTGGACTCAGTCAAAAGGCTGCACCCAAGGACCTAGAAGGACGCAGGTACCTCATCCTTGGCCAGGGTCAAGAGACCTTTCCCAAACTGGCTGAGGAATTGCCTCCAACCCCCAAGACAGTTACCTGTGTAGAAACCTTGGGTTTTTTGTTTTCATGTGTGTGTGCGTGAGTGCGTGTGTGTGTGTGTGTGTGTTTTACCCTATAAACAGAAGCCAGTCTGAGCTAGGTTTTCCCAAGGGACATGGTCCCCTGGTCCTCTATCCGTGCTTTTCCTCTCATCTAGTTGGGGGTGACCTGTCCTGCCCAGGAGGATACCAAGCCAGTGAAGACCCAATAGAGATGGCATATGTTTTTCTGGCCAAGAATTGCTGGAGGTAACTGTCTCTCATGGAACACCTGGCATTCACTGAGGGTCAGAGAGGGGCATGATCAGCCACATCCGAAGGCCAACCTATGACCTATCAGGTTCAAGGGAGGTCCCAATGACATACCGTCAGAACGAAGACACTTGGATTCAAAGCCTCCAACATTTATTGGCTATGTCACTCCTGGCAAGTCATTTAACCTCTGTCTACCTCAGTTTCCTCATCTGTAAAATTGGATATGGGAATCTGATGTTTGAATAGGCCATCTCCTAAAGTATCTTTTAGGACTGGGAGGAAGAAACAGTGTTACTCAGAAGCAGAAAAATGGATTAAATCAAATTAATAGTCATTTTTGTCTCTTATTTTGATTCTAGAAGGACAGGTTATACCTGTACTGTTCTTTTAATTTTTTTTGCAAGACAGTCAGAAAAGAGATTGCCTAATACTTTATTCACAATTAATCATTTTTCCCCCTATGGCAATCCTGGGACACACCCTAATTTCTTTAGAATTCCAAATTGAGATGATCACTATTAACTTTACCTTAATTGCACTTGAGTTTGGAGACATCTGGGCAGTTTTCTGCTAATAGTCTAGTTTCATCACCAAATCATGTAAGTTTTTTTTTTTAATTATTTCTGCATCTGATTAGAAGCTCACTTATTCTGTGTTGATTCTGTAGCAGGGAGGTGACATTTTCTTGATCCTGTGTCCAAATCCATTTTCTTGTTAGTTTCCTAACAGTCATATCCTGCCAACCAAACTTGTTTTTCCACCCTCATACTGCCTAATCCCAAGTAAATCTCACCATCCAAACTGGCTGTCACTGTTCCCCAGTTGAGCAATGCTGGAAGTCGGAATCATGCTGATTGGGTCCACTATAAATATATGCTATCAGACCTGCTAAGTGCACTGAACTGGTGGAGCTTTGTCAGGGCCTAGCCCCCAAGGAGCCCTTACTGCTGCCTAACTCATATTGTATTCCTTAAGCAGGTAGTGAAAAATCATAGAGTTATATATTTAGAGCTGGAAGAGACCTTCAGAAGTCATCTAGTTCAACCCCCTCATTTTATAGATGAAGAAACTGGGACCCAAGATAGTTAAGTGACTTGCACAAAAACCCTCAACCAAAGTAGCAGATTCAGGATTCAAACACACATCTACTGACTTCAAATCCAGTGCCCTTTCCACTGTGCCAAAATATTTTTCAATCGTCCTGACTCAAGACTTTTACTTCCCAACCTCTTTACTGTCAGAAAAGGATCTCCTCCACTTTGGTGAGTTTCCTTGATTAACCCACAGGCTTTTGATCACTTCTTAACTCTCTGGATTCTCTGCCCTTAAACTCTCATTTTGTTCTGTATAGGCATAACCCACCTAATATCAGGAATTAGTTCTGGGAAAATATGATTTTACTTGAAACAGCATTGTAGAGGTCATTTATTTCTGTAGCAATGTTATAAATGAAAGCTACTTGGCTGGGCAGCTCAAATATGGTCTTTAAAAGCTTAAAATGTGTCATTTTAGGGATTTGAGACAATTTTAGGTTTAGGCTGGGTTGGGTAGGTTGACCCGAGGTGTGGAGACATGATCCTTCAAGCCTTAAGACAGATTTCTGCTCATTTTGTGGGTGGCAACAATCAAAACGGGTAGGGGAAAGAACAGTGTTTGGGGGGAGGTATTGGCTGGATAAGAAAAAAGGATAAGAAAAAAAATTCATTGGCATCCTAAAATTGATGGAAAAAAAGGAGATTTATTCTTTTCCTCACAGAAAGCCTCTGATCTTTAATATGAGATCTAACAACTCACATATGAAGTGGAACATTTTAACTAACAATAACCTCTATTGTCTGTAACTGAGAAATTTACAGTGCATTTCCTCAGAACAGGAATAAGGAAACATATTTAGCTCTGGCCCAACATGTGGAAAATGGGAGGATGGTTTATTAGAGCTAGAACCTGGGGATTCTGGAGCTAAAATATCCTTAGCCCTTTTTCTACAGACTAAAGGAGCAAGGCAATCTGTTAGACACTGACATGGAAATTGTAGAAATTGGGCCAAAAATTTAATAATGTCAAGTTTTTTTGCTTCTTGTTCTTTTTTTCCTTGAGTTCAAGAAGCAGCTAGTTCTATTCATTAACTTACTGCTTCTTTATTTGTGGTTGGAGGTGCTACTGAGAAAGGCAAAGCTCTCCTAACTGAACTGTCTGTGTAAAGTATTTAGCAACTCTAGGATGTTTGATAATCCAGGAGAAGGAAGGAAATAAACATTTATTAAGTGCCCACTGTATGCCAGAAACTGTGCTAAATGCTTTAAAAATATTATCTCATATGGTCCTTACAGCAGCCCTAGGAAGTAAACACTCTTTTTATTCCCATCTTACAAATGAGGACACTGAGGCAGACAAAGGTTAAATGACTTGCCCAGAGTCACTGAGCTAGATAGTGGGTGAGGCTAGATTGGAACTCACATCTTCCTGACTCTAAGCCCAGTGCTCTATCCATCCATCCAAAATAAATGTAAGAGATAACATCCCATACTATACCATGGACTTCACTGATACTATCAGTTTTCCAGGACTCTTCAAAATTGATGCAGGACTCAGGCCAATCTCTTATTCTTATTCCATGCTTAAACTCCCTGCTCCTGGGGAGTCTGAGGCTGGAGAATCTCTTGAGCTCTGGAGTTCTGACCTTCAATAGGCATAAAGCCAATCTTGTATTCACACTATCATGCATCAGTATGGTGAGACCACAGGAACAAGAGGACCCCTAAACTGATGAAGACAAGACAAACCAACCCAGGTGGAAGAAACAAAGCAGGTTAAAGCTTCCATGCCAATTAGTGTTGAGATTGGGCCTGTGAGTGATCATCACACTTCCACTCTAGGCAAGATAGGGATACCCTGTCTCAAAAAATCCCAGCAACAACACAACAGAAACTGATCCAGGGAAATTCTAGCATTAGTGTAGGGGATTTCTTCCTTTTTTTTAATCTTTGATGATCTCTGAATCCCAATTTGAAAGATGGAGGACTCTGCCTGCCCTCTTGCTCCCTAGGCCTACTTTATTCCTTGCATTCAGATGCCTATCACATAATCCTTAATTACATTTTCTCATTCTTCTGCCACTGACATGATATCTTGAGATGATAGAATCATAAATACAGAGCTACAAGGTAAATTAGCATCTAACCTAAGCTCTTCTTCCAAGGTCAACTTACTTGCTCAACACCACACAACTTTTAAATGGCAGAGTTGGCAGTCAAAACCAGGTTCTCTGAGCAGACAGCCAGTGTTCTTTTCTCCAAATCATGCTATAAAGGGTCTAGAACTCCAGTTTCCTGACCAATCTAGCCCAAGCTCAATCTCCTACTCAGTTTTGGGCTGAGCTCATTACCCATGTTGAGCACTTGTGTGCTGCAAAACCAGTTAGGCCCTGCCCATGAAGAGCTGAAGGCTGGTTGATATTTTTATCTTGTGGGTTACTAATGCCAAAAAATTCACCCCCTAGTGGTCAATCTTTTTGACTAATGTAATGGGCTATATATGCAGCTGCATGTCATCATACAGGTAACATACATTCTTCATAATCTTTGCTTTCCCAGTGAGGTTAGATTGCTATGATAATAGCAGGAAGGTGGTGTGTTGGTTGGAGTACCAGTCATTTGGTCTCAGACACTTACTAGCTGTGTGACCCTGGGCAAATTACTTCACCCTGTTTGCCTCAGTTTCCTCATCTGTAAATTGAGCCAGAGAAGGAAATGGCAAACTTCTCTAGGTTTTTTGCCAAAGAAAGCCCATATGGGGTCACAAAGTGTTGGACATGACTGAAACGACTGTTCGGCAACAAAACAGATACGTAGAATCCCATTAAAAAATATTATGTATTGCTCACTTTATCTGCAGTATTCTTCCTCTTAAGGAGAAGCATCATAGTCTGGTAGATAGAGCTTGACACCTGGAATCAGAAAGCCTGATTTCAAATCCTGCCTCACACTTAAGAGCTATGTGGCCTTGCATCTCTCTGAGTCTTAGTTTCTTGATAAAAAGGAGGTAAAAATGAGACCTATCACACAGGGTTATTGTGTGATCAGATGAGGAAATATATGCAAAATGCCATATGAACATCACCTATTTTTATGAGGCTTCTAAATGGTTTACGCTTCTTTGGCCTTTTTCATTTTTTAGTTTCAAGTCACATTTTCCAAAATAGTTTCTCCCATCTTTTCCTGTCGCCATTTACATTAAATTCACTGTGTAGTGCTAGAAAAATAATGTCAGCAATGCTAAAGCCCCAGTGATCTGAGGCCAGCAAGCAAAACTAAGAGCAATAAAAATGTTTGTTTTTAGCTATGTCACGACAAAAAAAAAGGATAGAAAAAGTGTTATCCTTGGATACCGAATGAACTGGCATAGGTGATTATTAAGCTGTTGTTAGAGATATTTGAAAGATCATGGCAAACAGGAGTAGTACCATGAGATTAAAGAAGGACAAATAAAGCATGCTGATTTAAAGAAAAGGAAAGAGATGAGTCTTCAAACTTTGACTTTGATTCCTGGGAAAATTCTAGAATGAATCATTAAAGACATGAGTGTTGAACCTCTTCAAAGGGAAGTGTTGATTACAAGGAGCCAATGTGGTTTCATTTAGAACACTCCAATCCAGACTATGAAATTATCTTCATTTTTTTATAGAATTACTATATTAGTAGATGTAGATAATTCCTGGGTAGAGCTCACCTTGATTTTAACAAGTCTTCTGATAAAGTAATTCATATTTTTTCCTGTGGAAAAGGTGAAGAGATATGGACAAGATGATAATACAATAACATGAATTCAAAACTAGTTAGAAGGTCTAGACTCAAAGAATAGTTGTTAATGGTGCAACATCAGTGAGGAAGGAAGGGTCCAATGGAGTACTTCTGGGTCCTGTACTCCAAGAATTATTTCTAACAATGACTTGAATAAAGATTAGATGTTATGCTAATAAAACTAAAGATGCCATAAACTAACATATTGGACAGTAGAGTTTGGATCTAAAAAGATCTCAGTAGACTGAATATAATAAGATAAAATTCCAGGGCAGCTAGTTGGCACAGTGGGCAGAGCACTGGCCCTGGATTCAGGAGGACCTGAGTTCAAATCCGGCCTCAGACAGGTAACACTTACTAGCTGTGTGACACTGGGCAAGTCACTTAACCTCATTGTCTAGCCCAAAACAAAAATTTAAATTAAATTAAATAGGGATGAATATAAAGACCTACACCTGGGTACCAAGGCTCAACTTCACAAGTGTAAGAGACAGGAGACATGATTAGACAGAAAAAGTCTGGAAATTAGAGTGGATTACCAACTCAAATTTTTAATCAGCAGTGTGATGTGATAGTCACAAAAGCCAATGTCATCTTGGTCCATATTAAGAGAAGTATGATGTTCAGTAGTGGGCACCATAATTTAAGAAGGACATTGATAAACTGGAGGGTGTTCAGTGGAGAGAAACCAGGATAATTTAGGACCTTGAATACATGCCATATGAGGATAGGCTAAAGGGACTGGATATGTTTATCCTACAGGAGATAAGAGGTGGGCAGACACGATAGTTGTATTCAAGTATTAGAAGGTTTCTTACGTAGAAAAGATATTAGACTGCTCCTGTGTGGCCCCAGAGAGCAGAACCAGGAGGAAAGAGTGGAAATTACAAAGAGGCAAATTTAATTTTTATTTCAGGAAAAATATAGGGCCTTTGAAAAATGCAATGTACTGCCTTGAAAAGTGATGAGTCCCTCTTGTAGAAGTACTTAAGCAGAATCAGGATGACCATTTCTTGACTATGTTATGCTTCCTTTTGTTCATGAGATACATTACATGATTATTGAGGTAAATTCAAACTGTCAAAATTCTGTAATTTCTGAATGTTTATGTTGACTCACTTTGGTGGATTTTATCCAATTCCTCTAGAATTTTTCTGCTTCTTCAATTTTCTGTCGACACATCACTTACATAGCTATTTAGCAATAGTATAAGAGGCAGATTGGTATAGGGGATAGACCACTGGACTTGGTGTGAGAAGATGTAGGTTAGGATTCTACTTTAGATATTTACTAGCTTTGTAATGTTAGGTAAGTCTCTTAACCAATCTGGGCCCATGGTTTCCTTATTTACAAAATCTCTAAGATTCCTTCTAATTTTAAATGTATCATGCTATGAACTATCTTTATAGTAAATTATTTCCTTATCTTCATCATGGACTGAGGAAGGTAGGATGACCAAATGTCCCATGAAATAATGTTTCTTTGGACTTTGGACACAAACCATACTCCTCTAATTGCCTTCTCTAAGAAGAAACTGAGAGTTGCCCACCCATTTGTGTTAAACTTTTTTTTTTGCTTTTATTAATAAGAAAAATTTCAATATTGATGTGCTTAATTTCTTCTAGTAGGTATTAACTTTGTGGTTGACCAATATGAAGGAGAACCAACATTTAGATGAATAAGTATTCATTAAGATAGTCTAAGGACAATGTGATTACTAGTCTCTCCTGCCCCCTTTAACACAGTTCTTTCACTAGTACAGAAGCAGACATGGGACACAGAGCCTTGAGGACTGTTTTCCATTTTGATCTAGCTCATGAACAAAAAGAAATCATCACTTTGTGGCCAACTGAGTTGCTCCTTGCTTAGTGGACTAACCTTTGGATCATTGAAAGAGCCTTCCTTTCTGGCTTAATAGAACCTTCTAGAATCTCTTCTACACTGACCTAGCCCACAAGAACTTCATCACCTCCATGCCATAATGAAGAGCTTCTGTGGAAGGATTCAATGAAACACATTTTTTAAAAATACTAATCCTTGCTTTGCCCATTTCGCTAAAAGAAAAAAAAGGCTGAAAATAGTGTCTATGGTTTAATATTATTAAGCTATTAGAAAAGATAAAAAGAATGGTTTCAAATAACCAGAGAAGACTTGAATGCACTAATACAGAAAGAAGTGGGCAGATGGTATAAAGTCCAAAGGAGGGTGTCCAGGATGAAGAAGACACTGGAAAACATGCCACACACTTTAAAGTTACAGGAGTTAAGAATGTTTAGCATAGAGAAGTAGTAGGGCAATATGATAGCTTGATAGTTGTTTTCAGGTGACTGAAGAATTGTCATATGGAGGAGGGAATCTATCTGTTTTCTTAGTCTCAAAGGACAAAACGAGGAACAATGAAAGAAATTATGGGGAATCAGATTGTAATTCATTGTAAGGAAACCAATCTTTTTTCTATATAAATGCCATTATTATAATAATAATTATTATTATTTTATGTGGACACAGATTACATTGAGTTTCCTCCATCATATAAAGTACATCATACTGTCTGACTGGATGCATGACACTCTACCTGTTACCCCAGAAAGTGTAATCTGCTAGCCTGTTCACTGTCCAGATTGTCTTGCCTTTAGTGTGAAATTCTGTACGCAATTCAGTAGTGGTAGCCCTCTGCCACTTTTGCACCTCCAGTCTCTGTAACCACTGAGGGTGGGTCAGTAAAATAAACCTATCACAATAGGTGGCACAGCCCAGAATTGCAATGGTCTATTTCAGGACATAGTGAGCTCAAGCAGTGGTTGGATGACTTCTTTTTATTATAGAGGGATTCATGCTTCTAGTAGGGCTGGTACTAGATGAATTTTGGGGTCATTTGCCACTTACTCTCTTTATGGCTGCCACCACCATATTCTTCCAGTTCTTTTTATTGTTGTGCTGTTGTTTTTAAAATTTCTTTGTTTTCTTTTCCCCAAATCTCATCCCCTAATTGAAAAAAAAAGAAAGAAAAGACTACATCTGGGTAGGCCCCTATATATAATGGGCCCAGGAAATATGGCTCATGTAGAATAACTGACTACTGTGCTTCTTCAGGAATATTCCCATCTCCCCTGATCCTCATCACTCCTTTAACCACTGATAGGAACCAATGCTTCATTTTCAGGTTTGAGGAGGACCTCTCTCAGGACCAACAACAACTCCTGGATGGAATCACAGAACTGGATATTAATACTGGTGGACTGCCTTCTCAGCTTCTGGTTCATGGAGCCTTGGCCTTCCCTCTCGGGCTAGACGCTTCGTTTGGTTGCTTCCTGGCAGCTGCTCACTATGGCCGAGGTCGCGTGGTGCTTGCTGCTCATGAGGGCATGCTCTGTGCCCCCAAGCTGGGTCCTTTTCTGTGCAATGCTATTACCTGGCTGGCAGGGGGACAAACAGGCAGAATTGGGGTTAACCCTAATTTTAAAAAACTATATTCCCTGGTATCTGAAATGCAGATAAAAAGAGGCCTGAAATGCAGCGTAGAATCCCATCTGACCACTGGTTTAAATGTTTACTGCTGTTCAGCCTACAGTGACCAAGAGGCAAGGAAGCTGCATGAGTTTGTGGCAGAGGGTGGAGGGTTACTGATTGGGGGTCAAGCCTGGTGGTGGGCCTCTCAGAATCCTGGCAAGACTGCTGTGGCTGATTATCCTGGAAACCATATCCTCAACCCCTTTGGCCTTAGCATCCTAGGGAGTAGTCTAAAAAGTGGTCGATTTCCTGTCCTTGTGCCTGGTAAAGGGAACTATCACTTCCGCTCAGCATTGTCTCAGTTCCAGGATGAAGTAAAAGGAAGCAAGGTCTTGGCAGAAGGCTGGCAGTCGAAGCTAAGGAAGGACTGTGCAGCCTTCCTGAAGATTCCTGCAGAAGGAATCCCTGCCTATGCCTCTCTACATAGATTCCTGAGGAAGGTGCTCAAACAAACTGGCCTCCCCCATGTCAGCCAGGATCATCCTGTGCACAGCAATTCCTGTGAGGCCACCCTGCTCTGTATGGCCACTGAGCTTGCTCAAAGTGGGACTGATTGCTTTTCAGTGGTCCGCAGAGCTAGTAAAGGGACTTGCCCATCCCAACTGTACTCCCCAGGACCTCCTGTCACCATGGAGATCAATGGTACCAGTCCAGGTAAAGATGGAGGATGAGGACCAATGGATAGTTGGGAAAGAATGGGCTGAATGAATCCAGTAGGACATCACAGGACTTCAGTTGCCATAAGAGCCTGTCCCTTTAAGGAGATGGGGCTTGAGTTATTGGGAGTAGTTAAAGGGTAAGCAAGTAGGAAAAGGGTTGGGATATCTAAGGTTCAAAGATAGGATAGCAAGTCTTTGGGAAGAAGTGTGAAGGCTCCAAAAGGAACTATGTGGCTCTGGAAAGAGGATATAAGAACTCTTGGGGATGATATCAGGGCTTTAGAAAAGGATATGAGGATTGTAGGAGGGATTGGTGGGGGGGGGGGTCTGAGAAGTGATATCAGAGATCTGGGTGAGGTAAGGAGAAGGAGGGAGTCAGGGTAGAAGAATTCCACCCATTATTATGTCTCTCTTCAGATACTACTGTATGGGTGAGCACCGGACTCTATCTCCCTGGAGGCTTTACTGCAAACATCATGATGCCTTGTGCTGCCACTACTGGCCTACAGGTAACTCCCTGTGCCTGCCTATTGCCTCTCCTATACATACATACATACATACATACATGCATACATATATATATATATATATATATATATATATATATAAACACACATTCACAGATATATCTCCTCATGGCTGTTCCTTGCTCTAACACCACTTATTCTCCTTATGGCTGCCACCACCATATTCTTTCAGTTCTTTTTCTTGTTGGGCTGTTGTTTTAAAAAATTTCTTTTTTTACTGACAAGCATTTGTTTTCTTTTTCCCAAATCTCATCCCCTAATTGAAAAAAGAAAAAAGAAAAGAAAAAGAAACCATGGTAATACATATGCATAGTCAAGCAAAGCAAATTCCCACATTGGCCATGTCCAAAAATTTTTGTTGAAATCTGTATCTTAACCTCATCTATCAGGAGATGGGCAATGCATTTCATCTTTGGTCATCTATGATCATGGTCTGTAGCACTGGTCAGAGTTCTCAAGTCTTGCAAAATTGTTTTTCTTCATAATATTGTTGTTACTGTCTAAACCTTTCTGATTCTGCTAACTTCACCCTATCAATTTCTACAAGTATACCCAGTTTTCTCTAAAACCATCCATTTTGTCAGTCAGTCATTACACATTTATTAAGTGCCTACTATGTGCTAGACACTTTACTAAGTGCTCATCTCTTACAGCAAAGTAATATTCCATTAAATTCACAAACCGTAATTTGTTTAGCTGTTCCACAGTAGATGCACACTCTCCTTTGGTTTCTAGGTTTTTGTTATTGCAAAAAGAACTGCTGCAAATATTTTTGTACATATAGGTTCTTTTCATCATTCTTTGATTTCTTTAGGGTACAAGCTTTGCATCGGTATAGGTAGGTCAAAGGGTATGCACAGTTCAATTGCTTTTTAGGCATAGTTCAAAATCTCAGAATGGCTATACCAGTTTGCAGCTTCACATTATTGTATGTTAGTGAGCCTATTTTCCCACAGCCCCACCCCACCAACAATCTATACCTATGATTAAACCTCCACCTTCCTGTTCTTGTTCCCAATTTCCCTTCTAGAGAGTTCCAAGCAAAATGATCTAGTCTCTGGACCAGAATCTATCCTATGAGATAGTATATCTTAAACAGCAAGAGATCCAGAGAATGTGGGGTCTGGTGTGTTTCATCCAATAGGAAAAGATATTCAGAAGGTTCCATGCTTTATTTTAGTTTCCCCCAACCTCTTTCTGGGATGAATGCCTCTCTCTTCAACATAAAAAGTTTCCTTATGATAAAAAGTTGCCAAGTTTAGTCACACTGGATTCTTGTTCCATTCAGGAAATGTGCTCTTACACAGACAGAGAGGGATAATTTGTGATAAGTTTCATCTGCTAATGTCATCACTGAAGACTGGAATTATAATCAGAACATCTTATTTTTCCTTAACAACTCATTATTCATCTGTCACCAATGATTTTGTAAATTCTTATTGAGCCTATATTGGTATTCTCCATATATGAACCCTTAGGAGTATGGAGTCACTACCTACCCAATGCCCATAATTCAAGGTTAGTTTTGCATAAAAGACATTGAAAAATGATCTAGCACACACTTTCCAGTAGCTGCTAGCTGTGCTCATGACTTCTCTTTCCCAGGTACAAATTGGCTGCCACTCTGATGATCTCAGTGAGGCCAAGAAGCTTTGCCGAGCACCTGTGGTGATTCACCGATGCTGCCTGGACAGACCAGAGCTGTCAGTCTCCTCCCTCTGGGGGGGCCTCATCTATATACTTGTGCCTCAGGGCAGTAACCTGGGTCCTGTGTCAATCACCATCACTGGAGTTGTGCCTGCTCCTTACTTCAAGCTGGGTGAGTAAAGGCTTTGTGAAGGCTAAGCCCAAAGGTACCTGGAGAAAGGGTGAAGGAATTATACACTAGGTTATAAAGAAGGAAAATAATGTGTACCTTGGATTGATAAAGAGGAAGAAGATGTATTGAGGGTGGGGCATTAGGGAACTTCCTGTGTCCATGGAGAATTCAGGGGAGCATGAGGAAAGGTGATCAGGGATTGGCCTTTTGTCTGCAGAAATGGGGATAGGATGCATTCCAAAGGTGAAAGTAGAAGAAAAAGGCACTGAATTTAGACTCAAAGGACTTGAGGTCAAATCCTGACTCTGCTATTTACTGGTTGTGATACTGAACATTTTATTTTAGCTCTCTCATGAGTAAAATGAGAGAGTTGTACTGGATCCACAAATTTATTTTTAAAGAATATTTTGATAACTGTGTTTCAACATAATTGGTTTCTTTTGTGATTCTGTATTTTATTTTATGTACTTAAAAATTGAGTAGTCCATAGGCATTACCAGGCTCCTAAAGGGGCCTATGCACAAAAGGTTAAAAAGGTTAAAGGTTAAAGGTTAAAAAGGTTAAAAAACCCCCATAGGACCTTTAAAGTCCCTTCTAGCTCTAAATATCTGATCTCTCAATGTTATTCTCCTATTGAAATCAACATTTCAACTTTCATCCTTAGGAAGTAGAAAAATGAAGGAATACTTAAAACCACATAGTGTCCAGAGGGAGGGAGGTGATAGGACTGCACCTCATCTCATTATTGGGTCTTTCCTAAAGCTGTGATCAGAGATACATTTTAGGATAGACATTAATGAATTACCCCATAGACAGAAAGGCACCTGGGATGGCGAAATGACTAGAGTTGTATGGGGATTAATTGAAGGAACTACAAGTATATAGCCTGGAAGAAAGAAGGTTTGAAGGGATATGGTAGTTTTCCAATATTTAGCTGATAGGTGGAATTAGGGTGATTTGTGATCTGTTTGTCCTCAGGGAACAAATTTATGAAGAGGGAGCTTAATTTATGGGGACAAATTTTATCTTAATGTAAGGAAAAAAAGTCTTAACAATTAGATCTTCTCCAAAGTGAAATGGATTGTTCTGGGAGGTAGCAAATTACCCAAAGCGGGAGGTCTGCAAATAGAGGCTGGATGAGCATTTATCAGAAACAGAGAGAAGGGAATTCCTGTTCCTATTTAGGTATGGGCTGGATTAGATGGTCTCTGAGATTCTATCTGAGATTCTATGACAGGCCCATTAACCCCACAATCTCTATCCAAAGGGGAGACATCTCTGGAGGAGTGGAAAAGCTCCATTCGCCACTACCCAGTGCCCTGGGGGGAGCTGGCGACAGACAACATCATCCTCACGGTGCCATCTGAACATCTTCAAGACCTGGAAGACCCAGAGCCATTGCTTCATCTCTGGGATGAGATGATGGGAGCCGTGGCCAGGCTTGCATCAATAAGCTTCCCTTTCCCTCGGCCTGAGAGGATCGTGGCTGATGTACAGATCTCAGCTGGTGGGTGTTCTGGAAGTTGGGATGTGATAAATGTACATGTGATAAATCAGCCCAAAGTTCACAAATATTACTTGTTCGTCATTGTCTCTATTCAAGGTATTATGCATGATGGGTAATAGTACAAGTGAGCAGGACCTTATGAACTAGTTGGGAAAATGAGAGAAAAACCACACTGAAATTTCCAAAGGAACACAAAAATCAAATAATAGTGTTCATTCATTGATTCACTCATTCATCTTTCCTTTGCTTATTCAGTAAGCTTTTATTGTGTGCCTCAGTGTGCAGAACAAGAGCTTTCACAAAGTACTCGTAGAGAAAATAAATGCTATGATTTCAAAGCAGGGGCTTCAGTATGTAGTGGAGTGATTAAGGAGCCTTCCAGGGAGTGTGGGGGGACATGAGCTGGGCCTTGAAGAATTGGCAAAAGTCAGATAAAGAGAAGTACAGTCAAGTCAACAAGTCAGTAAGCATTTATTAAGTACCTTCTGAGTGCCAGCACTATTCTAACATAAAAAGAAAGACAAAAGACAATCTCTCCTCTCAAGGACCGTACATTCTCATAAGAGAAAACAGCTTGTAAACAACCAAGTACAAAAATGATCTACACAGGATAAAATGGAGACAATGTCAGAGGGAAGCCCTAGATTAAGGGAATAATCATTGATTACAGAGGCCTGGACCAGCACCAAAGGCTGCACAAATGGAAAAGGAAGAGCATAGTTCCTCACTTTAGGAGAATTCACAATATAACCGAAGCTGACCATAAGAAAAGGGAAATAACCTACACTATTCCTATCTTCCCAAGCTACAGATGGGATATACTAATGTGTAAAAATGTATAAAATAATAGCTAGCATTTATATAGTGCCTACTATGTTCCAAACACTGTGCCAAGTACTTTACCAGTATTATCTTTTTATCCTCACAACAACCCTGGGAAGAAGGTGCTTTTATTTATCCTCATTTTCCAGTTGAGGAAACTGAGGTAAATAGAGACTAAGTGACTTGCCCAGGGTCACTAGTAAGTGTCTGGGACTAGATTGGAACACAGGCCTTTCTAACTCCAGGCCCAGCACTCTATTCACCATACAGCCTAGCTTCTACAAGAGAAAAAAACACAATACATGGATCATTGTGGTGCAGGTATACAATTGCAAAATTGACAAAATGTTAGAGGCACGTAGAAACAATACAACCTTTATGTGAGAAATAAGAAATTGGGGCTGGCAGGTGGTGTGAAATGGGCAAAAATGTTTTCTTCCTTGTTTTGACTAAGTAAAGAGAATCCATCTATTCTCATATATGTGTGAAAATGTTATGCATGAGAGAATATGGGGTGGGGGGAGAGATGCATTATGAGAATAACCTAGGGATGGCAGATTGGGCTCTCTCACATGGAAATCTCTGCCTTGTCTTCTTTCTTCCACTCCCCAGGCTGGATGCATTCAGGATACCCCGTCATGTGCCACAAGAAGTCAGCGGAGGAATTAGTCAATGAGAAGAAAATAAAGTTTAATGGCATCTGGGGCCCCATCCATGAGCTAGGCCACAACCAGCAACGACACGTCTGGGAGTTCCCCCCACATACAACTGAGGCTACCTGCAACTTGTGGTCTGTCTACATACATGAGACGGTGCTAGGCATTCACCGGAGCCAGGCCCACCCCGCACTGACTCCCTCAGATAGGGAGACCAGGGTACAAGAATACCTGAGAAAAGGGGCTCCTCTGAAAGAATGGAGTGTTTGGACAGCACTGGAGACTTATCTGCAGGTACTAGAAATGAATTGAGAAAGAAGGGAAGAATACTACTCCTACTCCTACTCCTACTCCTACTACACTACTACTACTACGACTATGACTACGACTACTACTGCTACTACTACTATGACTACGACTACTATTACTACTACTACTACTACTACTACTACTACTACTACTACTTCTACTCCTCTAGCATTTATATAGTGCCTCGAGGTTTACAAAATACTCTTTATAAGTTTTCTCATTTGGTCCGCACAATGACCCTGTAATGTAAGTGCTATTATTTACAGATGAGAAAACTGAGGCTGAGAGAGTTTAAGTGATTTGCCTGAGGTATTCATCCATATCGGGTCATGGATTCTGGATCTTCATGATGCTAGATATCTTATTGCACTTCTCTGTGCTTTAGTTGTATAGCAATAAAATGGGACTGATAGCTTCATCCCTAACTATCACCTAGTGAAAAGTGAAGATAAATGAGGGAGTAGATAAAAAGTATTTTGCAGAGTTTCTTTTAAGGGTCTCTGCAGAAGAAAACATTCTAATTTATATAGCCTAGATAAATGTTCTCTTAACTAATTATGATTATAAAGATTCTATTGGACATTACCTAAAGCATTCTTTGTAGGTCTAGTCACAAAGGGTGACCCCTCTTGTATGTTTATTATGGTATTATTGTTATTGGTATTACCATATTATATTACATAGTATCAATGTGTCATAATTTGACTAAGGTCTAATTTGCACTAGAGTGATTAAGCATTCTTGAAAGTAGTCATTTATCCAAGGTGGATAGTAGAGAATAAGACTGATTGATCATGTCTAAATGGATGTTTGGTACAGGAGAGAAGGGACTTCTGCTCAAATGGTAGGAATGTGGCTAATATTCAAGAGGGAGCCTCTTACTGCAGTAAGGTGAAGTCTTTGATACTCATGTGCTGGGTTGTCTCTGGAAACAGATCTTTCACTCCATCCCCTTTTCTCTTTCTCCTCTCTCTCCTCTCTCAGCTACAGGAGGCCTTTGGCTGGGAGCCTTTCATCCAGCTCTTCACTGAGTACCAGACATTATCTGGGGTGCCCAATGACAATGCTGGCAAGATGAACCTGTGGGTGAAAAAGTTCTCTCACCAAGTGCAGAGGAATCTGACTCCTTTCTTCCAGACCTGGGGCTGGCCTGTCAAGGAGGAGGTTGCTGCTTGCCTGGCCTGCCTGCCTGAGTGGCAAGAAAACCCCATGAATGTCTACCTTCTCATGAACAATTAAAGGATGCCCGGTAGGCCCAGTGTACTCCATCTCCAAAAGTCAGTCTATGGATTGTGTGGGAAATACTCTGGGTGCAGTGAGTCAGTCCCATGCATTCATGTTCAAGATACTATGGTGGTGTGAGGGAGTAAAGTCATCAGGAGAGTACAACCTATCTGAAGGGGAAAACAAGAAAAACCACTTGGAAAGTTATACAGCAACACAAGTTAAATAACAATAAAAATATTTCTTCCCCCTCTGCCTCCAAAGAGGCCTCGGAACCTATCACAAATTGGCACCAAGTGTTCCTTCTCTGAGAATCTGTCTTTGGTTTAAATATGCTATTATTCATCAATACAGTATAATAGTGATAATTCTGGATTTGGTGTCGGGACTTTGGGTTGAATCCTATCTTTGCCATGTAGTACCTGTGTAACCTTGGGCAAGTCATTTAATCTCTGTGGGCCTCTCTATGTTTTTGAGGTGCAGTTTCAGAAAGATTCAGCACATTCAATAGTACATTCATAATATCTTTTATATTTTATTATATTTATATAATATATAACATGTTATATATATTATATAATTTATTTATTATATTATAAACTTTAAAGAATTCTGGAACATTCCTTAAGCTACAGGAAGAGGACTGTAAAATCACAAGTTGTGGTAACAAAATATATTATGGTTTGCTCCCATCAGTTCATTCCATCTGCCAATATCCTTTGCATAAAGAAAGCAGCAGTAGAGATTGCATTGATATGGGGGAAGCTAGATGGCGCAGTGGATAGAACACTGGCCCTGGATTCAGGAAGACCTGAGTTCAAATCTGGTCTCAGACACTTGACACTTACTAGCTGTGTGACCTTGGGCAAGTCACTTCACCACATTGCCTAGCCAAAAAAAAAAAGAAAGAAAGAAAGGGATTGCATTGATAGAACCTGAAAATACTAAACTAAAAGGTTTTCTGTCTGTGGCTTAATCACCTCCATAACTCTTTATCATTTGCATACTATGTGCCAGGCATTGTAACAAGCATTGGAGCTTAAAAAAAAAAAGGCAATTACCTTCAAAAGAAGGCAACTTCCTTCAAAAAGTTCATAATTTAATGTGTGTGTGTGTGTGTGTTGTACACACACACACACACATACACGCACACACACCAGGATAAATAGGAAATATTGAGGAGCTGAGAAAGATTTCCTATAAAATATGGGATTTAGTTGGGACTTAAAAGAAACCAGGCAAAGAATTGGAAATTGAAGAGTGCCCATCAGTTGGGGAATGGCTGAATAAGTTGTAGTATATGAATGTTTCATAAGAAATGATAAGCAGGCAGACTTCAGAAAAACCTGGACTTACATGAACTGATGCTGAGTGAAGTGAATAGAACCAGGAGAACATTGTACACTGTAACAGAAACACTGTGTGATGACTAACTTTGATAGATTTAGCTCTTCTTAACAATGCAATGATCTAAGATAATTCCAAAAAACTCATGATGGAAAATGCTATCCACTGCCAGAGAAAGAACTATGGCATCTGAATGCAGATCAAAGCATTCTACTATTCTGTTTTCTCTTTTTTGTTTTTTTTTTCTCATGGGTTTTCCCTTTAGTTCTGATTCTTCTTTCACAACATGACTAATATGGAAATATGTCTAATATGATTGTACATGTATAGCCTATATCAGATTGCACGCCATCTTGGGGAGAGGGTAGGGGAGGGAAGGGGAAAATTTTAGAATTCAAAATCTTATAAAAGTGAATGTTGAAAACTAAAAATAAGTAATTTTTTTTTTTTATAAAAGAAGCCAGGAAAGTCAATAGGTGTAGCTAAAGAGGGAGAGCAATCCAGGCATGGTAGACAACCAGAGAAAATGCCCAGGGCTGAAAAATGATGTGTCTTGTTCATGGAAGAGCCAGGAGGAAGCCAGTGTTACTAACATGATGAGTCCATGCCTGGGAGTGAGATATAAAAAAGAGTAGAAAGGTAGAATGGGGTTAAGTTATAAAGGGTTTTGAATGCCAGAGCATTTTGTATTTGATTCTACAGTGAATAGGAAGCCACTGGAGTTTATTGAGTAGTGGGGTGATGATCAGAGCTGTACTTTAGGAAAATCATTTGGTGGCTAAATGGAGAATGGATTGGAGTGGGAAGAGACCTGAGGCAGGCAGACCCACCAGCAAGTTACTGCAGTATTCAAGGCATGAGGTGATGAGGGCCTGCCCTACAGTGGTGGCATTGTCAGAGGAGAGAAGGAGGCATATTCAAGAGATGCTGCAAAGGTCAAATTGATGGACCGTAGCAACAGATTGTCATCTGACACAATAAAGGCATTAAAAAAATAAATAAATATGCACCACCAGACTTCAGGGCATGAACATGAAGGCCGAGATGCCAGTGAAATTAATGGAAGACTCACATGGCCCTAAGTCAGTGTAGCCTTCACTTTTCAGTAAAAAAAATAAAAAGTACCTACTATGTGCCAAGCATTGTACTGGAGAATATCCCTTGATATTCTCAAGAATTAAGACATTCTTTTGATAAAGAGGAATTCAAACAGAAGAATGACCCTGTCATCCATGTCACATATTTTCACTTGTCACCTATTTTCAGAACTGTTTTGAAAATTTTTATTTATTCTTGTTTCTTCTGATTATTTCAATTTCCTTTTTTCTTCTGTTTACTTCTGTTTATTCTTTGGGCTGAATTATACTATTAGCCTAAAATGAGGCAAGGCAGGGGACCTGAGCTTTATAATAGTTTTATAATGGCATATATATTTTTGATACCATATATCATATAGTATTATAATAATGTAATATGTATAATAGAATAATATATAATTAGTATTAGAGTATTTTATAATACTGGATATAAAACAGGGTTTTATAATGCTGGCTTTGCTACGTAGTATCTGTGTGGTCTTGGATAAGTCACTGAACCTCTTTACACCTCAGTTTCCTCATCTGTAAAATGAGGGAGTTGGAGCTCTTAAGTTTTTTTTTTCCAATTCTGAGTCTACATGGCCCTGTGATTCTTGTTTCTTCTGATTTCTTCTGGTTTCATTTCTTCAGCTGCTTTCTTCTTCATCTGCTGCTGCTTCTATGTTATTGTTACTTAGTAACTTGAGTTGTTGGTATAATTCTAAGCCTCACGTTCTCAGAGCATGTGAGACCTGAAAGGCACCTTCAAAACAATCTAGCCCAATCCTCCTCACTTTATAAACTAGAAGATAGATGACTTGCTCCAAATCATACTGCTAGATAATGGCAGAGCCAGGATTAGAACCCAGGCCTCCTGGCTCTCTTATCATATCTTATCACATCTAGAGCAGGTCCCACTATTTCATGAAAAGGTTTTAGCATATTAATTAACAGTGGCATTTTATCATCAGGGCAGCACAAAACCTTTTTTTCCCTTTCATTTGGGGGAATATTTCCCTTCATCTTAGGGCGCCCTCTTGTGGCCTGGTCTCAGAAGAAAAATGTCTCACTTCCTGGTCCTGTTTTCTCTCCTTTCAGTAAATGGTTATATGCATGGAAGCAATTCTTGAATGAAACAGAAACCGTGTGGCTCCAAATAACATTGGAAACTATGTTCTCTAAGGTCTCTTCCTGCTCTGCTGAAAAACAATACAGAAGAGTCTATGATTCAGCTCAGGCTAGCATTAGAAGCAAAGGAGGCCAGCCTCCAAGTAGTGAGGTGGGCATCTTGGGGGACATGAGCTACCATGGAAGGGATGCTGGATTTGGAATCAGCAGATTTGACATCTTAATTAGCCTTCCAGCTCTGATTTGAATCCCTGCCATCAGAGAGGATGAACATGATAATCTAGTGTTTCTCATCTTGGATGACTGATCTTAATGATTTCCCTGGATCTAGAGACATTTGTCTAACCCATGAGTCCAGCCTACCCTTTGAGCTGGGATCTCCATGTTTTTCTACCAACAGGTCTGTGTTTTCTGAAGTATGTCTTCTCTATATCTCATCCAGACTGAGAGTTCTGTCTTTTACCAGACTCATCCCTCACCCCACCCTCCATGGCCTGCTTTGTCCTCTCTGTCTCTGTTCATACCATAATTGTCCTCCTGCTATCCTTAAGCAGTATATATTTTTTTTTATGTATAGTTTCTTTTTTCCTAAAAACTTTTCTTTAGTTATTCTAACAGCCTGGGTGCCCATGCAAATGTCAGCCCTTTCACATATTGTTCTCTCAATTTCAGTCATTAGTTTTCTCTTGCTGAAATTAGCAAGCCACTTCTGCTTGCTCATTAAAAATGAGCTCTGGCTCAGATTCTTAAAATCTAGCCATTACTAAGATTCTTATAATCTGGCCAATAGCTCAGTTGTGTTCAGACTCCTTTAAAGTCTGCCCAATACAATGGATGTTCTAATAAATCTTGTCCTTGGCTAAAAGAAGGCTTGGGTCGAATTCTTTTAGGCAGGAGCCACGTGTTGTGATTTTGGGGTCCCAGCACCACAGAACTCTTAAACCTTAACATTTTGGTGGCCTATATGGGGAAAACTACCTAATCCCAAGTTCTTCTCCAGCCAAGACTGGAAGATATGTAAGCCTGCCCCCCTTCTTTCTTGCCCTGCAGTTGGGGTCACTCTCCAAGTACCTAGGAAGGCTTGGAAGTGCTGTTCAGGCAGACAGTTACAGGGCTGTCTCAAACTCAGCCTGACGCACTCAGGCTCTCGGTCCACTGGTTCGGTTCAAAGCCATGGACCTGGGTACACCTCCTGCAGCATAGAGGAAAAGGACAGATTCCCTATCAGGAAGCATATGTCCAATTCTGTCAATTCTCTAGGTGCTTGGGAACTGGGAAAACTGCAGGTACTTCTTGGTTCCCTGAGGCTTACTTACTCCCTTCCCTAGACACCCCTGAATCCTCCTTCATGGAGGTTACAGGGCAAAGTTAGGACAGCTAAAAATACCTTGGCAGATTCTAGAGGTTTTGTGATTGATCATTAAGTAGTTTTGAAACACCTCCCTATAACCCTGGTCACTTCCTTCCCTTGAGTCAAGAGGGTATCTGTTAACCTCTCTCATAGGAGAAGAGAGTTTCAGCCTTTCCCCCTCACCTTTGCTTTTGCCCTCCCCAACCTGGGAAAAGGAAGGAGGGGGAAGGGGCAGCAGCTACAGCCTGGGCCCACTGGCAAAGGCCTTGGGCCCTAGGAAAACCTTTGCCTGGAAGCATTATCCAGGTTTAGCACATCCTGCTCAAGGTAAAGAAGTCATCCTCTGAACTTGGGTAAGCACACTCTTTTTAAAGTTGTAGCTTT